AAGCAATATATAAACTTTTACAGCGCTCCCTTGGTTAATTGCTCGGCATTGGGCACTAGGGGCGCTACTGCGCGCTCACAGATTAGCATTGAGTTATTGACTGATACTTACACATCACCCACAGATCAGCGTTGGGTTCCTGACTCTGACTGATACTTACAGATCATCCACAGATCAACGGACCACACCTAAACTAGTAGTAGCACGACCAAATCACCAGCCCACTACCCAACCTAGATTTAATTTACGCTGTGATCGATCAACCATACTACCACTGGCTACCAAACGATCGAGCAGTACTAGATTGCCAAGCCAACTAGCAGCTCGACCCTGCGCCTACTTACGCGTGCAGGAGTAGATCAGCGCCACCAGACGAGCGCCGCGGCAGCGAGGGCGGCGGCGGCACCGGAGACCCTCGAGACGCCGCGGCCACGCGGATCAGCCGCGGCGCTGTAACTGTGCGGCTCGTCGTCATGGTGGTGGTGGTGGTGGCCGATGATGATCGGGTGGCCGGAGCCTCCTCCCCTCCCGCCACCGCTCCTCCCGCGCGAGCCTCCTCCGCCCCTCCCGCCGCGGCAGCACACGCCCTGGAACTGCGCGGCCAGGACGAGCAGCACCAGCAGCACCGCGCAGAGCCGCCTCGCCATGACGCCTCAGATGACCGCCTCCCCTGGCCTAGCTAAGCCGGCCGGCTTCTCCCGCTCGCTGTTGGTCGGATGGGGTCGGTGGCGATGCCTAGCCTAGCTCAGTGCGTAGCTCGTCGCTCTCGCTCGTGTTCTCCTCCCGGCCGGTGCGGTGGCGGAGGGCGGAGGGCGCGTTTATATGATGACGACGAGCTGAACGGAGAATGACGCCGCGGAGGCTGGGAAGGTGCGAGGAAACTCGACCGTCGTGCAGGGCGGCGCGTCGGGTATTTGGCACCATTGGCGCCATTGCCTTGTTCGTGCTGGGCGTGCCCGGGGATCAACGACGCGTCCACCGTTGCCTTGGCTGAAAGAGGGCAAAGCGTACGTGCCATGGTCGAGCGGGTCATCACGCTGGCGAAAATATATACAGTTTTCCTAGAACTCATCTAGATGAGATATAATTTGGTCTCATTCATCTTTTATAGCCATTGGATGTGATGCTATAAGATGCATGTGTGCTGACATGGATGTTATATGTTCTTGTTTCCAAGTGAATGAGACCAAATTATATCTCATCTAGATGAGTTCTAGGTACTCCCAAATATATAATAGAACACCTGCATCCAGGCCCTCCCTATCTAGCCATCCATTCTGCGCTTTGCGATTCGTGCAAACACATTTCTCTTTTTTGTTTCTCTCGCATAAAACATGTTTTGAAGTTCAAACCTTTGCAGCGTGGCAAAGCTTTCCATCTAGAATTCTAGATGGAAAGCTTTGCCACGCTGCAAAGGTTTGAACTTCAAAACATGTTTTGAGATTCTAGATGGAAAGCTTTGCCACGCTGCAAAGGTTTGAACTTCAAAACATGTTTTATGCAAGAGAAACAATAAAGAGAAAATTTCAGATAAAAAGTTAGTTGTGTTGCACAGATCTTAAAGCAATATTGGATAACTAGGATAGCAGGGCCCGGGTGCAGATGTTCTAAAAATCCACGTCCATCACGCTGGTCCTCCTTTCCCTATGTGGTATGGGAGCAATGCTTCGACGCGTAACGTGAACATTCCTGGTTGCTGGAGCCTGGTCCGTTTGTTCTTCACGGAGAGCAGTTGAACATGGCGAACGGGAACCATTGGTGTCACCATTCATGTCACAATGGATCCATCAATTACTGGAAAGGAGAAAATTCCCACGGCTGCTGGTTCACCTGCTTCACCTGCTCACTGGAGACCACCGTTACTGAATACGATGAAGGTTAATGTTGATGCAAGGTTCCACGAAACCGTACTGCTGCTACAGGGGTTGGTGTTCGTGGGCATGACGGAGCCTTGGTCCGTGCCCGAGCTTCTTTGGGTTCAGCAAGCACCGACGGCGGAGGCCTATGCGGCGAGGGATGGAGTAAGATGTAAGGCTAGCTTTTCATATGAGGTTCAGAATGTGGTGATTGAAACGGACGCTAAAGGTGTTGTGGACCTATGGAGAAACAGGGGTGAAGGAAATTTCCTCCGTCCTGATGAAAGGTGAAGCTATATCTGATGGTTTTCAGAGTTTTGATTTGGTTCACATGTAGGGTGCGAAGCAAATCAATTGGCACATCTTTGCGCCGGCCAAGCTAGTCTTATTAGGGCAGCATGCATCTTTTAGATTCAGAGGCCGGGGTAAGCCTCTTTTTTTTCTAAAACTAGTCTTGCTAGGAGAAGATGCATGTAGCCGGTTTAACTTTATTCCTAGCTTCCTTACTTCGTGTTTGGAGAATGATTGTAAACGTTCTGTTATAAGTTAAAGTGTGTTGAGATGCAAAAAGAAGTTGATGCGTGTCCTAAGAAAATGATTGCAAGCCACTTTGATGGATTCTCAAAATTGAACTCCCAAACAATTCAGAATATCAGGGGGCTAGTTTCTTATCGATTTCTAAGAGCATCTCTAGCCGATTCCTATAAAGTAGAGAAGTATACAGCCGAGTAAAGCTTATTGGACTGTTTTACTCTACTAAATTTTGGCGGGACCTAGCCGATTCCTTAAATATAACAGAGTAATTTTTTAACGTATTCAATTCTAGTTTACATTGCACCTGCATATTAACAAACATAAAAATTAAACATAATAATGAAAGTTCAAGCAAATCAAGAATATAGTTTACAGACCGAATTGTTTAAATTCAAACGCACCGAATGGTTCAAATGAAGCAAATAACATAATAAAAGCACAACTAGGAAGTGATATGAAGATGTCAATGATGCCCAACAAGATCTTTTTGGAGCTGGATATCAACTTGTCGGTTCTCGATCCTACGATGCGCTTCAACGTACATCACCAACGGGAGTCATGTTATGCAGAATCATGCATCAATTCATGATTTGCCATAGGACCTTGGACTCCAGTACTCGGCGGGTCCACAAATGATGGCAAAGCGCTTCTAAAGCACACCGAAGGTTTTCTCCACATCTTTCACCACATCATTGCCTTTGTGAACCTTTGAACGGCCTTCAAGATTGTGTCTTCTCCAATGCAGACATAGTTGTCAATTAAATCGGTCGAACACCCACATGTCAAAACTCGAACAGTCGCAATGCGCTTCATGAGAGGGCTTGCACTTATCTCTTCGCATGCATTCCTTCTAAGTTTGAACTCGGTTCAATTCGATTGTACAAAAGAAAACGAAATGAAAGAAAAAAAACTAACATAGGCAAGAACACTTGCAAGGCGGCAGTGGTGCATCGTCCGGCAACGACGTTTAGGCTAGTCTAGCGGGCGGCGACGCATGGGAATGACTTGCAAGGGTGTGTAACCACGGTCTGATGCGGCGACCACCAATGAGGAACAAGATCCGAGAGAAATCCGATGAATCGGTTAAGGCGATGGCATTTCACCTCGATTCTGGCAATTGCGACGACTAGTGAAGGGCTCGAACTCGGGCAGAAGTGCGGGAGGGCCAAGGGAGGCGGCAAGATAGCGATAGGGCCGATGGACGATCGTCGGGAGGTGCACCAGCGAAGAAGCAGTGGGGGTGGGACGGTGCGAGAGAGGCCAGAAAGTTTACTCCGCGCGGTCGTGGCCGAGTATTCTTAGGCGCCCACTAGAAGGCGGGGGTAAATTGTTTACTCCAGTATCCTGTTTACTACTTTGGCTAGGTGCTAGTTAGAGGAGTAAAATGAAAATATTACCACTCTATAGCCTTTGAGAGGATCGGCTAGAGATGCTCTAAACTCAACCCCTAATATTTTTCTTTGGCAATTTGTCTCATCCTATTACACACGTAAATCTCATTTGGACTTCATTACAATAAAACTTTAATAATTCTTTTACGATTCAAATGCATACATCTTAATAACATTTAAATGTTAATGCACATAATGAAATTCAGTCACACATGTTCACGGATTGTACTGAAAGCCACAACATAGTTTAACAGGTGCAAAAAAATAGTTCAACAGGTGCAAAAAAAGTTCAACAGGTGCAAAAAGGGAAAAACATTCATCAAGAAGAAACGTGAGGCAACATTGAGCATAGATCAAGCAACTGCATTGTGACTTCCACTTACCGGGTACATCGATCTTGGCAACGTGGAGAATGGCGGTTTTGGTGTGACCAAAATCTCACGACAAGCTTGTTCAAAATATTGTTTTGGCATGTCATCCAATCGTGAAACATCCGTGAGCATGGTAAGGTGTTTGCAATATGGTTACCTCACAAGTTATTCACGGAAAACTCAATCAATTAAGTTAAAATAGTGCTATATTTTTTTTTGTAGGTAGTGTGCTATGGTTTGATACGTCGTGTTTTTTTAATGTTTGATACGTCGCGTTTCTTTTTTGGAGAATGTTTGAATTTTTTTTAGTAAAGTTTGATTTTTCTTTTGAGGGGTTGGAGAATGTTTGATACGTCGCGTGATATTGCTAGTGTACGGTTGGATCGGACCGGCTACGGGCTGTGCAGCCCATCTTTCTTCTTGGTTGGGCCCAGGCTAGGTCGACGCTGCTTGAGTGACTGGCAAGCCCAAAAAGAAAAGAAAAAAAGACCGAGTGACTGGCCTGTGGGTGTGGGGTCAAGGCGTCGGGTGTCAGAGCAGCCGCAGCCGCAGCCGGAGCGGGTTCGCCGACGCCTCAATCCGCCTCGCCCATTCCCCCACCCGTCGCCGGCGAGACGCCTCCCTCCTCGTTCCCGTCCTCCTCATCGCGGCATCGCGTCCCCGCTGTCCCCACCCCGTTCGCCATCCTTGGCCGCTGGGGTTTGAGGAGTGAGGTTGCTTGCATCCAGCCATTAGTTGAATCCCGCCGACCTTCGCAGTCGCTGGGAGCGCCGGTCCGCCCCCCGCGGGGAGGCGAGCGGGAGGAGCCTCCGTGTAGAGGAGAGGGGGAGGCGAGCGAGCGAGCGTGAATGGACGAGGAGGAGGAGGAGCAGCTGGAGGAGGAGGAGGAGGAGGTGGCCGAGACGGGGATCGACTCCCAGGTGCGTATCGACTCATCATCCGAGTTCCTCGCCCCGACCGCCGCATTATACGCAGTATTTCGTTCTGGATCAAACGCCCCAGTTATCGCTGCGCCCGCTCGAATCGTGCCGTGGCCTTGTGGGAAGTGGAAACCCCCAATTTCGCGCGAAATGCCGTGTCCCCGATCTGGAATGTAGCCGGAGTTATTGTTTATTGCACTTGCCACACTCGTGTGCTTGTTGTGGCGTCGCATAGCTGCTTTTGATCTGATGCACATGCCAGTGCTCTGATTCGGTTCCATGATTATTTTAGTGCTGCTTTTGCTTCGGTTGCTCTCTAGCCTTTGAGCAACTGGTCCTAGAAAATGCGTTTAGAAGAGCACTTCATGCCACTTGAATCCATGTATGCAAGCGTCACATACTTCTTCCCTGCTATTTTAATGAGCATCCCTCTTAGCTTATGAATAGTTTCCAGGACTCGAGGTATGGAGCATATCGATGTTTTAGATGGTTGTGGCTTTGCGGCCTTGCCTTATAGATTTGGCATGCTTCAGTATTGCATGCCTCTTATACACAATTAATGTCCATTTGACGCGCCTTTCAGTAGAATGGTAGATTTTTAATGATGAATTATGATGAAGTTTGCTGCACAACTGTTTCGACTCAAAAATAGTTTCTAAAATTGTGTGCATACCGTGGACACCAAAAAGGAAAGCCGTTCTGATTGAAGATTGCCTACTGCTTTAGCCTAAATGTGGAAGCATAGTATGCAAAGGTCGAGGGATTTTACTTGTGATAGGATGAAGTGTTTATGCTGTTTCGTTACTGGGAAGTCTTGTTCTGCATTCGATTGTGTTAGACGCTGTGTTTGCATTCGTTTGGATAATTGTTTTTGCCTAAAATCTAAATGGGCCTCTAGTATTTGGCAAATATTATTTTAACTTGTAAATTCTGTTGTTGGTTCTTATGTCACCGCATCCACAAACCTGAGCCTGATTTGAGAAATGTCTAATGTGTCTGACTTGATTGGATCAGTCTATCAAGCAGGTGGAGTTGTGGATTTTTGTAACACAAAATCTCTTATTTAACGTATTATTTGGCAATGTTTCTTCTGGATGTTTAAGTGCTTCTACACATCCCAGCACTGAAGAAAAGCCTAACCACAGAGAAAAAAACAACAACTAATGATTGCCCCATTATACCATTTGTATCTACGTATTTGTATGAGAGGTTAAATATTTTTTTTATCAGAATGTCAAGCAAGGTTATATGTTTATTCATGGCCATGAATAATTCTGAATGGATATCTTGGTTTACTGGAGAGTTAAACAGTACTACTGGCTGAATATATTCCTGAAATGTAAAGCAACTAGGAGGAGCGTGGTGTGTATACCTCTGAAGTTCTTAATAGTGCCTTCTTTGAGCTTCCTTCACATTTTTCAAGGATAAGGCCTCAAGATTTTAGTACAAGTAATGTTGGTATATTAAAACACCATTTTTTTTGAAGAGAATGCCATACTTGCCAGGGGCTTTCCTTTTGTTTTGATATTCATACATTGCAAAGCATGAATGACCTTGGATGGCTCACTTTGGAGTTTCTGTGACTTTGTTCTTCATTTATTAGACTGTTTTATGGCTTTGTGTTTAGGCCAAGTTGTACTTTCTGTTTCACACTCAATGATCTTAAAGATATGATTCTATATGCACGTGATACTTTGGTAACTCCAGAATATCTTATTCACACATTCGTGCTATGCAATGTGCTGACTGATTTTCAACTGATTGTGTTGCAGGTCCATATGGCTTGTGTAATGCAAGGGCGTAGGTAAACTTTAGATGTGTATTTAGTTTATTGAGATTTTTTTCCGTTATTTTACGAGATAAGCTTCTTTACTTGTATTTGTATCCTGCACAATATACTTTCCGAACGACATGGATACTAGTCCTCAGTAAAACAGAGTGCCCCCGCTGATTTGCAGAATAGTTTGTGTTCTAGTCTACCATTACACTGAGATTTCAAAGCTAAAAATTTCTTCTGTCGATTACTAGCACATCAATGTATTTGTTACAGTGGAATATAGAATATGAGTCAACTGCTTATAATACCTGCCACTTTCATGTGATATCAGGGTTGGAGTGTCATACTATGATTCAAATACGCGCCAGCTTTTTGTATTGGAAATCTGGGAAGATAGCGCTGGAGGATTCCCTCTGATTGATCTTGGTATGTTGTTGACTTAATACTACAGAAATCCAAATTTCAGGTTGTATGCTATGGATTTTTTTAAACGAAAAAATTGTTTTGGTAGAAAAATACTTTGACAATTTTTCCAGTGTGAAGTAATTTCAACATTTACAACAGTAAAAACTGCATAGCTGACTCTCTGTGTTGCTTGATTTTGGATCAGTGAAATGTCAAGCAAAACCAAGCACCATATATGCAAGTACAAAGACGGAAGAAGAACTTCTATCGGCTTTACAGAGAAATGGTTTGGACTGCAGCCAGTTCTTCAACTGATATCTTAAGTTCTCATCTGATTGTTTTGCATGGAATCACACAGATAGTAATGTTGACCCCCCTGTTGTGAAGCTCATGAAAAGCTCAACATTCACCTATGAGCAAGCCTGGCACAGGTCAGCAGTTTTGTGTACTCTTTACCTGATCACTAGACCAAGCACTTCCTTGAGTGAATTGAGAACTATGGTTTCTGCACCTTACTTATGCTTTACATGAATATCTTAAGGATTAATCAGATTTGACCATTTGGGTAGCACTAATCTGCTTATTTATTGGATATGTTGTTTCAATTGCTGTTTTGTACGTTAAATCAACTACATTTACCAAGTGTCAGTCCGAACTTGATTATGATTTTTGCAATAGTATAAGAGGATGGGTGCTTTTCAGTATCATTGTTTTGTCAGTGAAAAACAAATTAGCCTAACAACTGTAATTGAATGTTTTCGGTTTTGGATTTGGAGAAGGCTGAGAAACTCATCCATGTAGGTGTTTGATAACTTATGATATGAATGTTATTCTTGTTGTATATCTGTATTGATCCTGCTATGTGAGGAAGGAAAACACTTGTCAGTAACTAGAAAGTTCATTGCAGTCAATACATTTTGGGCTACTGTATCTCCATCTCGTGCATTTCCTAATTCTTCAACCTGATGAATTGATGATGAATTATCTGTGTATTGCTTGTCCAAATTGCAGATTAATATACTTGAAAGTTGCAGCAATGGATGATGGATTAAGTGTAAAAGAGAGGATTTGCTTTGTAAGTGATCTAAATGAGAATCTTACTGCTACCCTTTTCTACCTATATGTTTCACTTCTCCATAGGTTTCAAAAAGACCATCCCCAGCCATGATAAACTCTTATTCAGCATGGCCTTGAAGAAATCTATTTTATCATTGTTTCATTCAGTTTATAATTATATTTTCCTGATTTCTTCCACCCCACACTTGCTACAGTTGCCAAGAAAATCGGGATTTTGACCTCCTAAGAAATAACATATCTAAACTTTGAGGACATATGATTAGCGAGTAGTCCCTCTTTTGTTTATGGGTTCTTGTTCTCTTCCATTTATACAAATGCACAGGGCCACATGTACTATTGTTTCTGTTTCTCTACTTGATCAATAGCAGTGTTCCTATCCAGTTACTTTCCTTTTAAGAATTTTGGTGAAATTTATATGCTTAGGAATCTGAAGGTGGGAATTGTCAAAAATAACCCACTCTATTTTTATATTTTGTTTTGCGATTGTAGAACCAATTTTCTATACTGAAAATTACTGCCTACTGGTCGAAACAGTTACTTCATTTGCTTAGGGACTTCATACCATAGATCACATGAACTTCACGTCTTATGCATATAATTGCAAATGCAGTTGTATTACTTATACATCTTCAGTATCTGTATGTGAATCTACATCCTACAATCTGAATCTAACAAAACAGCGGTGTAGCTCCTTTTTATCTCTATTTGTAATAAAAAGCTTGCGTTTCTCTTTCTTTTGAGGGCATTGTGTCATTTTCTTGCCCTCAAAGTGGTGCAGGTGCCTTGGATCTCGCAGATCATTTATATAGATAGAGTCAACTTTTGTTTCTCGTAAATAGTTAATATTATCACGTTTGATATTTGAAAGCTCATGTCGCTCACACATTTTTAGAAAAAGTATAGTGTAACATTTGTTTTCATCAAGCTCTTGCATTGCATTTCTGGGTGGGAAGGTGTTACGCTTCTTCTGCTGGATGTACCTGTATACTATTTCTAGTCATTCTATGGAACATGCAATCAGGACATGCTCATTTTCTCACTAAATCTGTAATATATAATTAAAACTATGATCAGGATACTTGTACAATTCTTTTTTATCCCCTTCAAAAGTGATTCCTTTCAATATATCCTTGAAGTTAGGATATTTCCCATATTTGCCTCACATGAATTGCTGATAAACTCTTGCTAGTTGATGTTTCACCATTCATCTCGTTTCTTAGATCTTGTTAACCATTCTGTCCTTGCACAGTGAAATCATTTTGTGCGTACTTGCAGCTTAATTCCATGATGGATCTTGGAAGTGATGTTCAAGTTCGTGCTGCTGGAGGTCTTCTTGCTATATTAGATAGCGAGAGGCTTCTTGATACCCTTGAACAAATGGAAGGAGGAGCATCCATTGCAATTGATTCTGTCACACAGATCTCATTTTATCCTTCGATCTATGATTGTATTAGATGAACACCAACATGCTGATGCAGTCAATTTTAAATTACATCTTCCATCATGATACTTTATTTCAGATGCAACACATTTTTCGTTCATACTTTGGAACCAACTCAAGAAATTTATATAGCTCCACTGCCCTGTTGGAAGCAACTTAACAATTTATGTAGCTCACTGTAGGGTAATGCTATGTCATATATATTAGCAATTTGTTATGGTTAGTTTAGCACTGTATGCCTTGACATGCATCACAGAGACAGATTATTGAAACTTGATGCAGCTGCTCATGAGGCACTACAGATTTTTCAAGTGGATAAGCACCCCAGTTACATGGGAATAGGAAGAGCTAAAGAAGGGTAAGAACTAAGAATCTTGGATCTACGTGTTGTACCCTTACTCTGGTTCCAGTTTGTAATAGTAATATTAAACTGCAGGTTTTCAGTCTTTGGTATCCTCAATAAGGTAGCAAGCCTTTTTTTTCTTCCCTTTGTTTATTTTCTAGTAAGTTCACTGCTTTGTCTTAAATGTAGTGTGTGACACCTATGGGAAGACGTCTCTTGAGGTCAGTTTTCTATCTCTGCTAGTCAGTATCAGTGAAATAGGAATAAGTAACATTTTCTGAACTCTTATCTATTTCTATGCTTCATCTTAGAGCATGGTTCTTACGTCCCATAATTGATATCGATGTCATAAATAATCGCCTCAACACAGTATCCTTATTTTGAACAGTACAAAATCTTTCATCCCTTCTGACTTTTGATGCCAAAATGCCATTGGTTTGTGGTCCTGTGTTTCCTAGCAATTCTAGATATCTTTCTTCCTTTGCTGTGAAGAAGTAATGTCTGCACTGCGTCAGACTTTGAAGTCTGTGAGAGATGTTCCCCACATGCTCAAGGTTCTATTTAGTTTACTCTGTTCATGTACATTTTAAGGTATTTTATTTGTACCTCTGCTTGCTGTAATATAGTCAAAATCCCTTTGTCATGACAAGTCAGGTGTGTCTAAACTGAAGTGAAAAAAAAGATAATACGTGTTTGATAATGCTCTCTGGGTAAAACGATGGAGATTAGACTTAAGTGCCAGTTAGTTGCGTTACGTGAAGTTTTAACCTTCATGTACCTCCCTATAGTTCGTTTGGGTCATGGCCTGATGGCTATTGTTTGTCCACCCCGTTCCATCTTGCTACACACAATGTGAATTCGCTAAAACATAAGTTTACATGCTATCTTTGTTTATATCCGATCAATAGTTATTTATTGTAATTCTTAATTAATGAAATCGAGAGCTTGAGACATACTACTTTGGCCTGAAGTAAAAAGGAAACTCAAAAGTATTGTAAACAGTTGAAGCCATAGTGCTGATTAAGAATATCATGGTTATTCCTAGTTTCTTTGAGCATGCTGTATTCAGCTTCAGAGTTTTCAGATATGCCGAACTAACATTTTCCTCTTTTCTGAAGAAATTCAACTCTCCAAGTTCCAGCTGTACAAGCAGTGATTGGCACACATTTCTGAAGGTACCCAAAAAGCTTTATTTCCAAGTTCAAATACATGTTATCCTGGAACAGTATATCTCATGTCTGCCATTCTGGTCAATTAGTTCATTTATGCCTTTCATGCTAGTATCAATCCATTCCATTCCATCCTCAACGGATGGAGCTTCGCTTTACCGAAAAAGGCTTTCGCCCCACTTTATATATAAAGCAACAACCAACTTACAACGAGTGATACAACACCAGACGCACCCAAGGCAAGGTACAAAGATGCTAAGAAGCAGCTAAGGCCTTGTACAATGCAAGATGCTTGGAGAAATAAACCAGGCTTTTCTCAAGCACCGGTGCTTATTTGTAAAGGGTAGACGCTTAATTAGGCGTCTCCTCTAGAAATAAGCACCGGTGCTTTAAAAAAAACCTGTTTATTTTTCTAAGCACCTCCCTAAGCACCTAGCATTGTACAAGGCCTAACACTCCCACAACAAGTCCAAGTAAACAACAGATAGTCACTAAGCCTCACTAGGAAGTCAAGGGAGCACTCAACCGGGAACAAGCCACCGAGAAGAGACCAACCTACACGCTGTTGTTCTATGAGCCCCAAGGCGATTCGTTCAAGAAGGATACGCCACCGGAGTGCCGCCACCACCCAATCTAGAGGATCATGATTTTCATCCAGGGTATCTTGGAGGATATGGAGTAACCACGACGAAGCCTTCAAGAAGATGATGACCTCCACGGACGACGCCTCCGTCAGCCTAGGAAAGCCAGACAGGGTATTCACCCACGTAAACACACTCCGGCTCTGAATAAGGTTGCGGCCAGTCCCGGGGACAGACGTCGCATCACAGCCACCAATCGACAAGCACCAGCCGCCATGCCGCCCACATGTCCATGAAGACTAGCCCGCACCTGAGCCGCGAGCTCCGCCCACGAGCACGCCGCTCCCGCCACCAAGGCCGCCGCCCTGCATCCCGACGCTCAGAATACCAACGAAGGGACAGACTTGGAACCGACCTGCAAAACCCTAGCATAGCAGAGCCGCCGGTGACTGGACTGCCCCGAACAGCGATCTGGAGTCGGAGTCGCTAGGTAGGGGAAATGGGGAGAAGAGGAGCGGAGCAAGTCCGGACCAGCGCCCCCTGCGCCGGTGACGGGTAGAGACCACCCATCCCTCCTGCAACCTCCCCACACATCACCCCTGACGCCCCACCACGGCTCCCGCAGCTCCATGCAGGGCAATCGCAGCCACACGTCCACCGGCGAGGGCCGCCGGCCCGTCCGCACCCAGCCGCCAAAGAGGGCCTCTAGAGCGCCCATCCACCGAGGGACCACCGCATCACCAGCAGCCGCCGCGCCCCTGTAGCAGCTCGCCACGCGCTATCACGGTCACTCCCAGCACCACGACCACACCGGGTCGAGGCCAGCCCCCGCGCCGCCTGTCGAGGGAGAGCCGCCAGATCCAGGTCCGATTTGGGCTCGCGCCGCCACCACCACCATGGGCACATCCCTGCCGGTCACAGCACGTAGCCCACCACACCAGCGCCGCCGCACCCCACT